TGGAAGCTGACAGTTTAGCCAGATTCAAAAAGGGATTGAAGTAATTCCTGGAGAAAAGATGCATCCATAGCTTTTGAGCATGGGAATCAAGGACATACAGCCTTTGAATTAGAACTTCCTATATCTTAAATGCTGGAGGCTGCCAGTAAGAAAGAAACAGTGGGAAAAACCCTGGTTGTATCTCTTTCAGCATCTACTCTGCCCCTGGGTGAACAGGATACTGGGCAAGATTGACCTGTTGTTTGACTCATACGTTCTTCTGCATGTTAAAAGCTTTTGCCCTCTTGGGGGGGGTGGCTATGTCAGTCCATGGTTACTTGTTACCTGGGGGAGTTTGGTTGGGTTTGATAGCTGGCTGATTTTCTCAGAATAGTCGGGAACAAATGCTTTATTTGTGTTCTTTTTAGGAGTCTCGCTAGAAAATTTTCCAATCTGTAAGGAGTTACTGATTCCTCCTGGGACACAAAACTATATGGTGCGAATGCGGTTGTATGATGTCAATAAGCGGCTGCTAAACCTAACCATAAGGATTGTATGTCGAGCCGAAGGTTCTTTAAAAATATTCATTTCAGCACCATATTGGTTAATTAACAAAACAGGTCAGTTGAACTTGCACTCAGTATAACTTTGAAAGGTTAATTGCCTGCTTAAATAGAGCCACTTTCCTCCAAATGGCCAAATGCCGCTTTTTGGAAATTAAGGAGTTGAAGTTGTAGAGAAAATACTGCATCAAATAGCAATCTGACATTTGCATTGTAAAAAGTCTCAACTAAAAAAACCTGACAAATAAGTAACTGAATTTGTTTTAAAAGTTCTAGCTCTATATTCTTAAACAAACTGAAATGGCTAAAAGCTTTTTTTTTTTTTTGGTGCTGTATAAAGTGAAAAACAAAATTCTGACAATGTAGTTTGTTTAAACTTTGATATGCTGTCATAAAGAAAGGCGTCTAAACAATGATTGTGTTCTGATGCCATCCTGGCTAACGCACACAGAGACCTGTTTGAAGTCTCTTCAGCTTGAACAAAAAAGCCAGATTTGATAGCTTGCAGCTGTAGTAGTTCCAGCCTCTGCTGCATCTCAGGCACAGTGTGGGACAGCACAAACTGAACAGTGGTTCCAGCATTACATTTAACAACTGATGAAGTGGGAACAATAGCAGCAAGTTTTAAAAGTTTATGTAATCCCTAGACTTGAATAAAGTTTATATTGTTTAGACTGTACACTGAAATATTATTTATTGTGTTTGCTTAAAGGGTTACCACTGATCTTCAGACAGGATAATGCAAAGACAGATGCAGCAGGTCAGTTTGAGGAACATGAGCTTGCTAGAAGCCTAAGCCCACTTCTCTTCTGTTATGCTGATAAAGAACAGCCAAACCTGTAAGTAATATTGATGAGAAGGAGAGAAGCTTACAAAGAGTGAAAATTAGTGAAAGGATTAGGTGCTGATATTTAAGTATGAATATACTGTAGGAAAAATCCTTCATTGGCAGGATGACCTGGTAAAACGTTTTAGTTTGAGATATTGAAATGAGCTTGCTTGCTAGACATTTAGATATTTGATACCGAAAACTATTTGGTTGGCTAGTTTTATTGTATATGTAGATGTTTGGTTTTATTTTACGCATGTTGAACTCATGCTTCCCTTTAATAACTTGCTAAAGAAAAAAAGTCCAGAGCCTCTTTTCCTTGAGGAAATTTACCAGACTGTACACACGGGATAAAGGTACTTGAAATAGCTTAAATAATCTGACTAACCTGAGAAGACAAGAAGCAGGAAATACATTGGTCACGCAGCAAGCAATCTACCCTTTTTGTGTTTAATAACTAATTTGGTTTACCAGTCAAATTGGGGGGCTTTTAAGTGCTCTGTATCTGAGTGTGTTAAAATTATTGAATGGATACAAGGAAAACTGAAACGTCTCTAATTTGTTGCAGATGCAACTTAGTTCTGTTGCTGCTGGTTTGGTTTGTCCTCCTTCTCTCTGTTTTAACCTATTATTCTGAATATATCATCACTTAGAAATATGGATAACGTGGCCTGCAGCAGAACAGCTGTAGTTTTGATGCCCAGGGCAGTGGCAGGATTTGCGGAGCCAGCACATTGAATATTTTAATGTGGGTTGTCAAATAGTTGGTTCAGCAACTGAAATAGTAGAAAATAGTTCCAGTCAATCTGAATTAGAAATATTTTGTTGTTTCCCATTGAAACAACAGAAAAAAGTTATTTCTGGTTTGCCGTAAGATGAGTAAATCACTTTTATTCTTTTCTGACCTGTAGTTGCACAATGCGAATTGGAAAAGGAATCCACCCAGAAGGTATGCCTGGCTGGTGTCAGGGATTCTCGCTAGATGGAGGGAGTGGCGTCCGAGCCCTTAAAGTCATCCAACATGGGAATCGACCAGGCCTTATTTATAACATTGGTATGTAACTATGGAGCAGCTCAGGAAATACTGTAGGAATTTTAAAGGCACTCAAGATTAAACAGTGAATTAATAACCTTCGCCACTTAAAGAAAAATGCTTCCTGGCCTTCACTCCCAAAAGACAAACACAAGTGCCCACTCGCTATTTCAGTTACTGCAGAGAAAGTACGGACTTCTGGGGTGTTTATGAAATTGAAACTGGTTGCTTGTAAATGGTATGCAGGCTTCCCAGCACAACTTCATTTATTACTGACATTCATTAAAAAGGCTCTTTCACATGTAAGTTATTGCCTGAAGATGTTTCTACTGAGTTATGGAGTACTGCTGTAATGGGAACAGAGATAGGATACCAGATTTATTTCTCTGGTTGCCAAAATGGGATTTAAAACTAGGTCTCTCAAAAAGGTAGGTTAATGTAGTGATCTGAAAGGGAGCCCACGAGCTGGGAAACTCCCATGTCCTCATCCTTACTCTGACTCCTTTTTGCACTCATGCTTTTGACAGTCATGTCTGAGTGATCCAGAATCTAACCAAGGGGATGGTTAGATGGATTATGCTGAAATGGATGATTCTGAAAAACCTCCATTTTTATATATTTTGGTGCATGTTATAGATTATATATTGTAACTATAAATATATTTATTATATACCAAATATATACCAAAATTGGATGGATGGATATAAAATAAAATTTGGTATACATTATTTTTCAAAAAATATATGTTGCAGATGTAGTCATTCAAAACCCATTCTTTTAAAATAGTCTGTAATAAAAGAGGTGCTCAGAGATTGGCAATCTATGGTCTATGGAGCAATTTGATCTGATCCCTGGACATTGTCAGCAGGAAGCTTCAGCACAGTGGCTTTGCCCTTTGCCCATGCCACCCCATGCCACTGTCAGGAAAAACAGCAGTGGCAGCTGAGTCCTAGTGCCTACCTGCTGCTGTGCCCTTCTCTGGGCAAACTGGATCACTCCAGCCTGAAAAGGCTGCCAACTGCCTGTCCACCTGTCTTTTCCCACAAACAATTCAGGATATTTTCCTTGTAGCCAAGAGAAATTTGGGTTGGCTGGTTGTCCAACCTGTGGCACCGTCTTAGTTATTTCAATGTTAGTGAAAAAATGTGTTTCATAATTTTCTCTTTCCCTGTAAATGTCACTGCTGAGTAGTCTCTTTCTGGGAATCTCAAAATTTCAGCATTTTTTAAAATTAATTTCTGCTAATAGATGTTGCAATAGACTGCTCCAAATCCTAGCAAGGAATATGCAGCTTCTCAGCTTTTGCAGAGGATCTAGAAATAGATTAACCTTTTTAGGTCTGGTCCTCAACCCTTAGGCATATGAGATGGAAATCTCCACTAACACTTCTAAGTTGTTTTGTATTTTATTTTAATTTTATTTTATTTACCTTTTGTTTTTCTTGGCTTTAGTATGAATGCACTGTGGTACTCTTGGAAGGTAATCTGAGCCAGTACGCACATTTTGCTGACACTGAGCATGTATCAGAAAGTAATCCATCCTGATCTGATCTTGAATTTGGGGTGGGTCAGATTTCCTTTTCATTAAAAGAAGTTTGCCCCACTCCTTGAATAGAGGCTTTTTCACATTGGGGCTAGGTTTCAACTTCACATCTACATTTGTTGCAGCTTTATAAAGCGAGCCATCGTAGATTATATATTAGTAAGGTGGGGCTGTTCAGGAATATTTTAGCTAAGGGAAAACATAACAAGCCGGAACATTTCCCAGAGTAGTCTCTTGTCGGTAGTTAGGGAGAAAAACTGTGTTTGGTCATGACTGTGGGATTAGTTTTGCATTGCAAATAATGTTAAGTCATTTAACCTTTTCACCAAGCGCATGGTCTAAATCTTGCTGCAAGCAGCTTTTCTAGCAAGGCATGAGACCTTTCCCATGCACAACAAAAAAAGCTGTAAAAAATTATGGTTGTATAAACCAACGATATTCAGAGCATCTTCAACTTGCTAGACTCTACTCTTTATAAAAAAAAAAAAAAAATGTTATCAACCATTTTTCTTTTTCTTGATCCTTTGGATGTGTCTTCTGTAGTTGCAAATAACTCAAGGCATGCACTGTTACAGTTAGCGCTAACCAATGCACTGTAGTTATTTCTTTTGAATTGGGGCATGTTTGCCACAGCTCACTTATGAGTGTATGTGCTACGGTGTCTCTTTTTTTGTTACCCTTGACTCCTCATCTGGTTGTTGAGCCAGAGAGGACTAAGTGTCACTGGTATAAACTTAACACAATCAACTTTACATTTGTATTCTAACAAACAGAAGGGAGAAGTAAATAGCCAATATTTTGGCTTCGTTGGAAATGCTTGTTGTTTTATCCTTGTGGACTGTTGGGAGATTTGTTGCTGTCCGATCTAAACTACACCACTTACAGAAAACTACATCGCTTGGATCAATTCCACATCGGGCTTTTTAAATGTCTGTACTTGGCATTAGACTTGGCACGTTTCTCACACATTTTGAGACATTTGTACCATAAACAAGAACGTTTTCTGATTCAATAAACATGAAAGATTGTCAGAGAGGCATGCTAATACACTCTGCCACAGGTGTTCGGAGCTGAAATACTGAAGGAAGTGAAGGGAGCCGAAATTCCAGCAGGTTTTTTAGGAATGCAAAGAAAGGAAAAATATTAAGCGATAGTACTGTTGTTAGAAATACCTCTGGTAAAATAGTGTAAAATGTATGTATTCATTAGCTATTATTTCATATTTTATCATTGGCCTTTGCTTTATGAACTCTATGTACAAGCAGCTTTTCTAGGTTTTCCTGTGTTTACAACTTTGCAGTACCTCTCCAGGCCCAGTCAAGTATTCTTTGTGGAGCTTGCTGTGTTGTTCCTGTATGTTTGTGCATTTAACCTCTAGTCCATGCACTGCCTGTGTATATTCACCTGGTATTTTTTAGATGTGCTGGTGAGCAGGATAGAAGAATATACATAACCTCTCACAGAGCCCCTGAACCAAATACACAGCTGCTTCTCCTTTTTCCAGGACTCTCCCATTTAATTTGTGGATGCACATTAGTTCCCAGTGGCCCTTCATAATTTGTTCTTTCTTGAAATGAGTTAGACATTCTTTTGGTAAAGAGGAAAACCAGCATAACATTTGAAAGGGATCCCAAAGTATTTTTGTGCCACTGTAGTACTTACAAAACTGCACTGCCAACCTAGTAAATCCCGCTTTATAGTCAATAAAAGTTGTAGCGGACAAGTAACATCCTACACATCAAATCACATCTATTTTTTCTGTTAAAAATACATGCAAGGTGTAGCATACTTGTACTGTGTCTGAGAAACCCATTATTTAAAATATTCACTTTTCTTATGCTAAATATCATGTTGCAGACAGTAAATACTTCTATTTTTCACTGATTTATTTTATTTTATTTTATCATTAGGTATTGATGTTAAGAAGGGCAGAGGTCGCTATATTGACACTTGCCTGGTAACGTTTGCACCCCGCTATCTACTAGATAATAAATCAACACACAAGCTTGCCTTTGCTCAACGGGAGTTTGCCAGAGGTCAGGTAAGAGGACTTTCTGTTTAGCAAATACGTAATGTATATTTTTAATAGTGCAAGTATTTTTTTTAAAAGGCTGTCTATAAAAAAAAAAAAAAAAAAA